TTGATACCTAATCTTTTTATTATCCAGTTTTTTACCTAAATTAATTATTTATTAATTTTAAATACACTATTTATTTTGATACCCAAATTATTTATAAGTTCAAATGAAAATTTAAAAAATCTTCAAATTGATCACAAAAAAATTTAAAATTTCTATTTTTATTTTAAGTTATAGGAATAAAGTATCTAAACTGTGGATAATATTTAAAACTTTAATATAAGTTGTAGTTTACATTTCGAATTTAGTTTTCTTTCTGAAGTTTTAAACTTATTTATTTATTCAAATAATTTCTAGATTTTAGTATTTTATTCACAACTTAGTTACTTTATTCCTAAACTTGAAATTAAATTTCAAAATTTTCAGATTTATTGTAATTTCAAAGTTATTTAAGTTTTGTTTGGAATTTTATTTAAATTTTGATTAAAATGAGCATAGGTTGGGTAGTAGAATGAGCACATTATTAAATGAGCAAAATAATCTATACTATTATTTGCGAAGTGATTTTTCGCAATGAAGCTATCACATTAAAAGTTAGAGTGGTTAATATCGTTTGTACCCTTAATGAATAAAATATATATATCAACCAAAAATAAAAAGGAATTTAATACTTATTTGATTAGATAAATGATTTAAATTAATAATAAAGATATGAATTATCCATAATCTAAATATGTATTTAAAAATAAAAAAGATAATTCCTATATAAATATTGTGTTGTTATCCGGAAAATATATTTTAATTAAAACAATTTAAAAATTGAAAACACATAAATAAATATTCATAAATTAATTTTTTTAATTGTATATAATTTCAAAAAAATAAAATTGAAAATTTATAATACGTAATTATTTTCAAATTTAAAGAATATAATAATATAATATAATGATATATATCTGTGAACTTATTTTTCACCTTTGAACTCACACGTTAAAATAAATTTATATTTATATTTTATATAGTTAAACCTTAAACATGAATTAATCATATAAAATAAAAGATCATTCAAAAAGAAAGAAGATACGTGTTTGACAAAAATAAATTCAAATATATTTTATTATTATCTAAACTAATGTTATTCTTTCTGTAAGATCAATTTTGAATGTAAATTTATCGATTCAGTTTTTCAATTTTTTTTATTAATTAAGAAGAAATGAAATAGACTTTAAATTTTTCAAAGTTTCAAATGAAAAATTAGTTTGTAAATAAATTTATCATGGAAAAAAAATTAATGTTTTAGGTCGAATTTTTTGGATGCAAATAATCATTTATTTTGATGTTTTTTAGATTGATTTAAAGATAATTAAGCCCGCAAGTGCGGGCAAAACACCTAGTTAGTTTTAAGTTTGGGTATTAAAAATCGTGAGATCATTTAGTTGAAGTATTTTTATAGGATTTTCTCTTTATTATTTGGAATATGAATTCTTTTTCTTCGCCACTTATTTTCTGTTATTTTAAAATAAGATTAAGATTTAAAAAATATAAAATGATTACCATAACTAACTCATCAAAGGATGAGAAACACATGTTGTTGTTCTTCTTTGCAATATACTCTGCATATTTAGTATTTGGTTTAATGTTGAGTCTTTTTTCTTATTATTATTTTAGTTTTTCTTTAGAAATAATTATTTGAAGATTCAAATAATGGCTATAGGTTATAAGTAAAATGTTTTGCTATTGTTGAGGTGATTGCTAATATATTTTGTACTATTTTTAATTAGTATTTAACTATATCATATATTAATGCTCTTAAAGTTTAATAATAAAAAAAAGGATTTTGTTTTTGTTCTTTAATGAGTAATAATAATTGTCTAAAAGTAGCAGATTCATCAACTCAAATAAACAAACTAAAAATATAGAATCACGATAACCTTTATTCAATAAGGTTTTTTTCGCTCTTTACTTCGTTTATCAATTGAAAAGTAAATAGTTGTTATTGCATATATTCATGGATGTTTTGTTAGTATTCTTGCATGATTATGTAATTAAGCTCTTATATTGACTCTGATGAATATTTTATAGTCATGAATAAAATATTTTAGTAGATTGAATATCTTGTTATTTACCGTAGATAAATTTTCTTTCTTTAATATTAAAGATATAGAATTATGTAGATTTATATTTGTTAAAGTAATAAAATACCAATATTCAAAATTCCATAAACAATATTTTATAGTCACCAATTTACGATGTCTTTTTCCTCTACACCAAAGAATTCACAGTATAAAAAGATTGAGTAAAACAAATATCTCATTATTCTATATTTGGAGTAAGCACTTTTTGTTTCTTCATTACTCCATTTCCCACTCTATTTTGTAGTACATTATGGAGTGGGGTTGGAGATGCTCTTAGGCTATAGAAAATAAATTTCGAAATCACGCGCGGATTATATCTTTTGATATTTTAGTTTCTATAAATTTGCTTTAGTTAATCTGTATAAATCATGTTTTCTTTAAAATTTAAATACAATTTTCTTAATACAAAATAGAGCTGTAATAATTATATTAACAATCTATTTGTTAACTATTGGACCAGAAGAGTGGTGATTTATAAAATATTATGTTTTGACAACAAAAAACAAAATAATCTAATTATGATATATGTTGCTTCTGCAAGTGAATATTATGCCCCCTCCTCTCAGCTTAAAGCCACCTTTTTCCTGAGAGAAATACCGAATGAATTAATATTTTGTACTTGTACGCATCTATCACTAATTTACAATCCAACTCTAAAAAAAAATCTATCTCTGACCATAAGCAACAAAACACATTTCATATAAAGTATAAACCAATGGCGTGACCACATTTACGGTATCGTCATCGTGACTACTTAATTTAAAACAAACTAGGTGACCGGCCCGCACCCTGTGCGGGTATAAAAATATAGTATAATGCTGAGACATGAATATCTATTAAATTCAAATGTGGGAGTTAGTGTAACAAGTGAGAGTTTCAATACTGAGACAAGATTTGCGTAAATCTCTAGGATGTAGTAGGGGTGGGTAAATGTTACTTTTTCGGTTTGGTTTGTTTAGTTCGGTTTTAATATATTTTTTCAACTGAAATAAACTTTATTTAGTCTGGTTTGGTGTTGTTTATGTCCACTTCAATTTATATTCAGTTCGGTTTGTTTTTGGATCGGTTTAATTAGGCTCTTTGTCGGTTAATTTTTTAAAAGAAAAATTATGTTTTAAAACATATACACATAAAGTATATGAACTAAATTCAATATTAAACTGAAACAAAAAATAAAAAAGTCACCAAAAGTATATAAGAATAAAACAAATGAAAGTTAACTAAAGTAAAAAAAAATTAACATCATTAGTATGTTTTTAATAAAAGTTAACTATTAAAAAAAACAAATGTAAGAAAAAGATACAGGAGACAGTAACATTAAAAAAATGTGATAAAATCTCATAGATATCACAATCCCATAGAAAATGTGATAAAAATTTAAATATAATTCATAAGTAATATAAAATAAGAAGAACAATTATGAATTAAAATAATCCCATAGAAACCTGCAAAAAATTGTCAATTGTTTTTAGCAATTGTACAATATAAAATAATTAAATAGATTTCTAAATTTTATCGAGTCGAAAATAATATTAAATTTGCATATCACTATTGAAACAGACTGAAAAATGGTTTGTAGAAACGGTATTTCATCTGTGTTATTTATCTGTTAATAGAAAGAACAAATAAATGTATATATATAGTAAATTACATTTTTAAGATCCATATATTTATATATATATATATATATATAATAAAGATAATAGTTTTGGCTTTTCTAAATCTCAAATCACCATTATATTTGTAGTTTTCTAAATGGATAATATTTTTGGCTTTTCTAACTCAAATCACCATTATTGTATAAATTTGTGCAAGTAATTGATAGCAAAATAAGGTAATCATCATATTTTCGAATTAACTAATTAAGAAATAAAGAACATACATATTTAATGCAATATCACATGTATATAGTTACCAATAAATGACATCATAAAAGAACAAGAAATTTACTTAATAGACATATATTTTTAAAAAATACTTCCTAAAAAGATTGTTTCGTTTAAAATTATATATAATAAAAAAATCAGAATATATCAAATTTAAAGAATAATTACGAATTAATAATCATATTGTATCATTAAGTCTTATGGTTCCTAAAATATTTGTTATAAAAATTCTTGTAAAGACATTTCTTGAGATATATAAAGTCTTACGGTTCTTATAATACTTGTTTCTTTTTAATAAACATGAAGCAATCAAAGAAAGATATTAAAAATTGACTGTCATAAATTTGCAATAATTAACATACCATTTAAGACAAGTAACTGATGACACAATAAGGTAATCATCGTATCAAATTGCGCAAGTAATTGATAATAAAATAAGGCAAGTTATTAATAAACGAATTAACTAATTAAATTGTATAACTTAACTATTTCAAAATACTATAATAATATTGAGAGACTCATTAGTCATTTGTAAATACTCATTGCTAATGATGCTCTCAAGTCAGAAGTTAGAGAAACGTGATACATATTTAAACATGGAACCATTGGTTTGCAAGATCGTTGCTATGTCTTGTATCATGGAGGAGGCCTCTGTGACACATGTTTTCTTGATGATTTTTTCAGTAAGGTACTGATATAACTCATCTATTAGTTGCTTCCAGTCACTCATGAATTGTTACCTGATTGTACCCCAGCCTTCTTATTTGCTGAACGGCCATGAGCATTACCAGTGCTTTAAATACTAATCATCTTAATTGGAGAAAATAATGGTTATGTGTTTCTCATTTAAACAAATAACATGCCTCTGAGATACTCTCCTTAATGAAATTGCACAAGTATTAGAATATTAATTGGTTTGTTTGATCCAATTAAAAAAAAGAATATAGAATTCCATTACACACAGGAATCACACATATAATAAACACTCATTCAATAAAAAAGCCGTAGGGATGGTTGTTTCCACAATCTTTGTTTTCCTCTCTTAAGCATTCTTGTTTTGCCAAGGCTTGAGAACACCAACAACGATCACAGCAACAACAATGAGAAGGATAATGATTGCGATACACATCCATTTTCTTGAGCTCTTCTGTAAACTCTTTGCTCTTTGAAGTGCAGTGTTTCCTGATTGCACGTGATCTACCAAATTTGACACCTAACACACAAATTGCAGATTATCATTTTACCATTATTATACCACTGCCCTTTCATGTTTATAAGAGTGTGTACTCAAAACTTACCTGAGATTCTATGTTGTCAAGCATTTCTCCTTGTGCATCAACCAAAACTGCCATGTCCATGAAAATCTGCAACAAAGGGAAACCTTGTTAAAGAGTTTTTGACTAATAGATTTGCATCAAAACAACAGCTCGGAGAATAATGAAATCCAACATACTTGTTGTAAGTCAAGAAGTTTCTTTTCCAAGTCTCTGACAGCGTCATGACGTTCTTGGATCTCCGCCAAGGTGTCCATTACCTGTGAGTAGTTCGAAGTCTTAGATTGTTTTTTTTACATACATTTTTACACACAAATGTCCAAAATGACATACCTGTCCTCGTCCTTGCTCCTGAATAGCTTTCTGGAGATCTGTTCACTGTTTCCAGTTTCAATCAACTCATCAATTGTCTGGAAAACCAATAAACGGCAAAGAAGTTTGTTTTTGTTCAAACTTCTGACGACCATAATAAACACTCAGACTCTAGTTTACTTACATCTTCATCCGCTCGCTGTCCAGTTACTAATGCAAGGAAAACACACACAAAAACAATAAGAAAGAGAAGTAGAAGTGATAAGTAAAGCAAGCTCATAACATTAAGAAAGTACATACCTGTAAAAATACATCTGTCAACAACCTCGCGATACTCTTGTTGGATGTTCTCTCTTAGAACCTAGAAGAACAAGTCACAATATTAATTTGAAGTAATTATAGTTTCCATATATATATTTCTTGAAATGTTTATATTGTTCTTCAAAACTCACCTAAAACTCGGCCATCTTGTCTTTAAACTTCTTCTTTAAGGAACTGTTCCACAGGACGAAAGATCATAAAGGTCATATCAACATTAAAAACTAATGACTTGTCTAACAGAAGAATGAGAATACTCACAGTGTGGTCGCTGTTCTTTATCTAATTATAATTCTACATACATGAATGGTGTACTCATCTAATTATAATTTTTCCTGGCTTTGTAACAGTTGTGGAAGAACATGAATGAAACAAAAGAAAACAAACTTACCCTTCATGGCGGGAGCTTTAGTAACAGCCTTGGACTCCTCATGAGAAGCCTATACGGTTTTAAAACGGTAATGCAACAGAACTGTAAATCTTGAAAGAGGAAAGCCAACAACACTGATACTATATATCCAACATTACATGGTAGAAAGAAAAAAAGAAGAGTAATTGGTTTATTATATACCTGAAGTTTCTTAAGAAGCTTATCAAGCTTTTCATATTGTTTGTCAATGTCTTGAACCTAAAAAGACAAAAAGAAGGGAACGCTTAGGGCAGAGTAAGTCGGTAATGATAATCAATTTCATAGCACTTTTTCTTGAGTTGGGTACTATCACCTTTTCGAAGAACACTTCTAAACCTTGGTCACCTCCTTGTTCCCCTAGCTCCACATCACCTTGTCTAGAAGATTCACCCCGTGGTAGCTCAAGCGAACCCTTATTAAGAAAAAAAAAAAACCCATTAAAAAGTTGAACAAAATAATCGAATTAGCATATAAACCACTCACATGAGCAAAAAAAATAATCAGAAAAGGCTAACACTTTAAATCAAATAATCAGACAGGAACATTAACATTATAGTTTTATAACATGGATCAATTTCAATTGCAGAACATAAAAAGTGTCCTAATTTTTCAAAAATCAGCATTCACATTAGATAATCAACTCCAAATTCAAACTCAACAAAACCCTAAAGAGTACAAGTTCTCACCTTAAGAAGATCGTTCATCGTATTGGTTTCGGTTTACCAAAGAACGAAGAATAAGACGACTTCGATTTAAAGTCTGCAACGCCGGGAAATAATCGATCTTCGAGAGACAAGGGAGAGACTTATTAGTGAGACAAAGATGGAGAGAGGAGAGACGGATCTGGCTTTAACAAAGATGGAGAGAGGAGAGACGGATCTTGCTTTAACAAAGATGGAGATCGGGCCGGTCATAATTTGAATCTATTTAACTCCTCGAGTGAGACAAAGATGGAGAGAGGACGAGAATCGTATATATATTGTCAAGCTTTCCTAATGGTATGAGATTGACATATTTGGCATTGAATTTCTAACTTCTCACGCAAGTTATCGAATATAAAGTAAGGAAAGTAAATAACCTATACATTAAATTTTAGAGATACGATTCTCATATATAAATCCTAACACTTGCACGTCAAACAAAAAATAAATAAAAAAGAAAATTAAAATAAATCAACCAATCAGATTAAAAGAATTATTCCGAGAAGGCCTGTATGATTGACACGTATCCAAGTGTCTTCTCTTTTAATGTATAGGAGGATTATACAGGGAAGTAACATATAGTAAGTAGTATAGTAGGAGGTTAGTGGAAATGAATATAAATGTTTTTGTAAACTACCAATAACTTAAGGAAAATCGATACATGGGTTTTGAGTTTGCGACCTGGTTATTATGGTAGATTGACTTAGATTTGGAACGTCATAGATGAGTTCTTTGAAAACCCCAATAATATGCAAGAATGATTAAAAGGAAATAAATTACTACTTTATTATCATAGTGAAACATGACGATTTTGATTAAATTATAAATACTGTACTTGACTTTATAAGTGCTTTTGAATTGCAACGTTATTATTCTCTAACAATAAATGTACATACATACCTAAACCCATTCTCTTTCCGGGGAAGATAGGGCTCGAGCACTAATTGTTCTTCATCTTTATCAAATCATCATCATCTCCCCTAAATCCTGATACCTTTTTCCATATTTGTGTAGATTATATCTGAACTCTTGATGAAATCTTCCACCAACAAAAACAACAATGCAGTCCTAATGCTAATATACAGAGAAGTCGACAAAGACCAGAGAACTTACCTTCCATATTGCTGCTCAGAAGAAATGAGTGATCTTTTGACATTAGCAGAAATTATTCAGACCCGATTCAAAAGCAAGAGCTAGAGTTGCAGAAGCTATTGATTTTTCAACTCTTGAAGGGAGAGAAAGCAACATCAGCTGAAAAAGAATCAGTACTATATTAAAGGAATCAACTCTTTTCCAACTAGTTCCAAGAACTTAAGATTAACTTCAACAGGCCACACTCATACAAACATGATCAAAACAACTGTTACACAAAATAAAAGCTCATTACACAAAAACCGGTGAGCGGCTGATTCGAAGTATTGGTTTTACTGAGGTGAAACGCGACAGTGCGTCCTCTGCAAGTGTTGTTGCTCCTCCTACTTTCTTCGCCATTTTCACCTTCAACAATTATCTTCATCTGGATAGGATTATAATGAGTTATCTGATTGCGAAAATGAAGAAGCTTTGTGGTTAGCTTTGGGATTGTGTCGTTCATCTTCTCAGACCTAGAATCGTCGGAGGTTGCAGTTTTTCTTTTGGATTCCATATGTTTAATCTCTTGAGAGAAGCTTGCGAAGTAAAAGGGATTTTATAAAGAAATAGATGCAAAGCAAAATGGAAAAAGCCATTGAATGTGATCAACGGAGTGGAGGAGTTTCGATTTTGAAACTGATTTGCAAAGGGAAGAGGCAAAGAGAAGGAAGGAGAGGAATCGCGACAGGAGGAGAGGAGAGGAGGAGAGGAGAGGAGGAGAACACGTTTCAGGCCCAAAAACTCAAGCCCACCCAAAAACACACAGAGGTGTCACTGACGTGGCATAACAGAACATCCTTATTGGCTGAATAAAATTGAGGACGTGGATAGCTTCTCATGTTCTCATATTCCCCTTTTAATAATAGTAAATATTAAGACACATCTAAATATATAACATTAATTATGAAAACAAATATCAATGTATGAAAGTATAAGAATTAAAACCCGCGTGAATGGGCGGATCAATCTCTAGTATCAGATTAATTCACTAAACTCTCAAATTTAGATGTCATCATTTTACTTCATAGACTCGAAGGTGGGCTTATTGAATTGTTGATTTGTGAGAACTTTAGTGTTTTGTCCGAATCTTCCCGTATTATATTTTGTATTTATAAACACGTTCTATCAAATCGAAGATTATTGGATTACTCTTTTTTTATGGTCAAAACTTATTGGATTAATCATTTATTAAAACTTTTTCAAATCATCCTTATCAGAAAACAATTATTTCATTAATAAATTATATAAGTAATAATTTTGAGTTATTTGAGAAGCTATTAATAGTAAAAATCAGTAGATACAAGTACCACCTATTTGGATAGTATTTGTATAGAAAATAATCATATTCAAAGAATATGACGCTTCTGATTCTTTAGCTAAGTTAGCTAGGTCTTTTTATCGTAAGCTTGTGTACGTTGGTTGTTCTGTTCCGGTCTGGTTATCCAGACCACCTCAAATCGCTTGAGTAATAGACCAGCCGTTTGATGTCAAAAAAAAAAAAGAATATAATCGCATAAAAACCAAACAAATTTAAGTTCATGATCAGGAGAACTGTAAAGAAACTAATCAACATGACGAGTTTAGGAACCGTTAATTTAAACTCTCTCATCAATCTCAATGAAATCAAGCCCTTTTTGATTTATGCTTAACGAATCATGTCATATGTAGCCTACGATGTTGTGATTATGGATAATGGCAGAGAGGACGAGCTCAGCGAATGTATCGTCGAATTCGCGAAGAAGATATACTCCTTATTGTCTATCGATTTGTCTCCAGTATATGGAAAATTTATCTACAAGTTTATAGAAAAAAGGTGTTGGTTAGTGATATCACTCAAATTACTTTAAGTGATTTTATTCTCTCAAAAAAGAAGTACAATTGTAGTACTTAAGGATTGAATCCACAAGAAGCCAATGAACCAATTAGATCTAAATAGTTATGAATAATTTAGACAAGTAAATAATAAAAGAGTAAATAAATTATTAAGCAGTAAATAAAGCAAGCAATAAATAAAACATTAACAAGATAAACAAGACAGTTGTTTGATGAAAGAATTGTTACTAGATTTAGGGTTTCTACTCAGGTATTAGAGATTTATAATCCTATAGGTGCTAAACAGTTGTATTCATGATATTGAAGAAATTAACCACTAAGTAACAAATCAAGCTAAGCATTCGCGTTACTAAATAAGTCTATTGACTAGATTTTTATTGATCCAAACAAGAATGTCCGATCAATTAACAGTGTCGATCGATTATTCTATAGGAATATCGATTGATACACTTTACTCGACGTCGATCGATTTCTAATGGGAATATCGATCGATGCGGCTAGTCAAGCGTTCTGCGCGAGTTAATCTATACTAACTATGGATCCCTAGATCAAGCTCTCTCCATGTTTCTAGTAAAATCCTAGTTTAATAGAATGGATTCAGGATATCTTGGATTGTCTAAAGGTTACTCAAACGATCTAAACTCCTTAGATCATGTTTCTAGTTAGCTACTCTAGAACATATGTATTACGAACATCCTATTAATAAATATCACAACAAGCGATCTTATAGTTGAGGCTAATCCCTCTAAACTATTTGAACCCTAAACCTAACAAGTGGATCTATTCAAGCATAAAGTTTGTCACAAAAATCATAGATAGAATAGATGAATATAATATAATAGAATAGATAAAATGTGAAAACCAAAAAACCAAAGGAGTTTCATGAGGACTCTGATGTAGTTCCTCCCTTCTCTCCTAGAACTTAGAACAGTAGAATAAAGCTCAGGTAATCTCTAGCCGTCAACAATGGCTTGCAAATAACATAAATAGGATTTCTGGTGGTCCAAGGGTATTCTGGTAATTTGTGTTAACTTCTGGGCCTAAATCACTCATAAAATATGCTCGTCTCGCGTTCTGGGATCAATATCGATCCATACCAAGAGTGTTGCATCGATCGATTTTCCTTTACCTTCTCGACAATATCCTCTCGCGAGGCAGAGTGACCACTCTTCATTAAAACATGCATAACCTTCTACAAGATGCTGATTGACTTCGAACCGATGGCATTGGAAAACTAACTCAAAGCTTCATTTTGTGTCAAAGGATGGGTAAAATCTAACAGTGGTAAGGTCTTAATCAATAGCTAAACATCTGACGTGTCTGTGCAGCTCTGCACTCAAAAAGTTTAAAATGACACCAAAATCACCATATTTCTCCAGAATGTACGTGAACCTGTAAATACTCTAAAAATCCTCTTTTTTTTGGACAACAAATGCTTATATTAAAATCAAGAACCAGATGGACGATTACAACCAGAGAGATACTCGACGGTAAGATGATAAGCTAACATAATTAAAACACCACGGAAGATAGAGGTGGCTAAGGAGAGAAGAAATCCACAGAAAATCTTCACTTGTAGTTCTAGAGCCCGCGTTCGATAGAACACAAAGAAGTCGATATCGACGTTGAAGAACCCAATCAATGGGTTTTGGAAATAGTTAAAAGTTGTCTCTAAAGAAGTCTGGATCTCCTGATGTTGCAGTGAGATGCGGAGAGGCTGCCGGAATAGGACTACACACAGAGTTGTCGACGGTACAGCTTCTAAAAGATAGCAGTTGACAGAATCAGGAGATGCTAATTGTAGGTGGCATTGCAATGAGACACGGAAAGACTGTCGGAATAGGACTACACGTAGAGTTGTCGACGGTAAAGCCTTTAAGGTTGAATGATTCACATGGGAAAGGGTAGGGGAATCATTAAAACAACTCTGTGAAGAACCATCGATGCTTGAGACGGCATAGTCCATCGATGCTTGAGACGACATCATTAAGGGTGATGGAGACGCAGCGATAACATAGTTTCGGAAAAATCTGGCGAGTCCACACTCTTGCACAATAGTTGTTGAGACATTGCGACAGTCGATTAAAACAATGTTGAATCTGAGACAAATCTTTGGAGGGGTTGTCACTTTAGACGAACACTTCACAATTGACGATTCTGCGTACAAAACCAAGTCCAAAAGATGGTCGGAGCCCTGTCGAGTCTCGGCACATGATGTAGAGGAAGTGACATAGATTGGAGTGACAATGGTGATGCGGAGGTGACGAATTGTGACGGGTTGGATGAGACCAGAGAACAGTCGCAGACCAGACGCAAAAGATATACCGGAGATAATGAAAAATATCTTTAGTCAGAGAGTGAAAAACATCACGACTGCGTGGGGGATGGTGGTGGTGGCTTGGGAGTGGAGAATGTCTCGTCTGAAGCTAAAACCCTTACCCATATAGAAGGCCTAGGCCCATACGCTTCCAGATGAACACCCGATTAGGGTTTAACTGGAGGTAGAGAGCCGACCAAAACAATTGTCGTGTGTGGGAGATGAGGCACCAACCAGAGGAAGATTGCGTTCATCGGAGCTACAGGCGGTGGCGGTAAGAGACGATTGCGAGGCGGAGGAGCGGGACAGAACCATGACGAGATGAGGTTCAGATTTGATGGTTCCAAGTCGAGCAGCGAAATGAAGCGGCGAAAGAAAAGGAGTTGAGGTGACCGACGGTGAGGTATCTGAAGATTCCGGCGGCAAGGTGATACATTTCAAGAAACTGAGTTCGTCGAGGAGAGGTCTCTGAAAGTTGAAGCGAAGCGATGGTGGCGAGAGCTGTCGAGAAGAAACGAACCCATCCATAAGTAGATCCAGTTTCAATGATTTGCAGAACAGGGGAATGAGGATGGTGACGACAATGTAGAAGATGGAACGAGAGTGAGGAAGAGAGATGGAAGCAGAGTGACGGAGAAGTCGACGTCGGTGGTCAGAGGCACCACGGCATCAAAGGCATTGCTTGCGGCGGCTTCTCGATTTCCGTGACTAGGAGGTTTATTATGGCGAACTCAAGGAGATATATCCCTTCCACTTTATCTAGCTCTAAAAATCTTCTATAATATAATAAATATTTATGAAAAACACTCATATACCATTATTAAAAATTGGTCAAAATCATGGTATATCACTTAGTCATTAACATGATAATGTTTAAGATTAGAATTTTGTATCTATCAATTGTTGTTAAACTGGGGAATCAGATTTTTGGATTTAGGCATAGATTCAATTTGATAAAAAAAGTCTTATTTTTCCTCTTGTAATGTAAGCGAGTGATCTAGTAGAGAAGGAATTGAAATCGTTTCAGCTAGTAGATAAGTCTTATTTTTGCTCTTGTAATGTAAGCGAGTGATCTAGTAGATAAGAAAATGAAATCGTTTCTGCTATGGTAGCTTGAAGATCTCAAAATGTTATTTTCACGAGGCAAGAAATCGTATCATCGTAATAAGGAAAAATGTGTTTTGTATACATGTTGGAAAATGTGTTTTGTATACATGTTCAAGATCAAAGAACTTGGAACACACACAAAGGAGGCTGCGAAGAATATCAACAGGCTTGTTCTATTCACAAATGGTTTTGTAAGTGTAAAAATGACACCACAATAAGATAGTACAGAAGGTAAATCAAGAGACAAAATACCAATAGCTTTATTCAAATTTTCTTTAAACAATTTTTACAATACCTTGTTTATTCAGATTTACACGTCTAGTGTTAACACCCTAACACACGTCACTGAAAGATTCCTAAGCTACTCACTTATGTCTTTCTACCGTCAAGTACTTCAGCCTCTGCTTCAGCACGACCCAAGAACACCTTAAGAGCTTCTCTCTCTCTATAAGATCAGCCTCTGTGTCTCCGACAGACGACCCCATTGCTATCTTATACTTATTCTCCACGTTCCCGAAACCCTAGTCTCCAAGGAACACAATATGGACACCTTCCATAACATTAAGTGCAACTTTTCTTTTCTTGAAATGCACTTAATCCTCTTTCTTTAAGTCATAAACTTGCTCCTCAAGTTTATTCCTCTTGCCTTTTCTCCAAGATACACCCTTGCTCTCCAAGTCTACACGACTCCAGCTCAGCATCTTGACTCCACATGGTCTTCACCACTCAACACGACGTCTGCCTCAGCAACTACGTCAGCGACTACTTCAGGGCGGACATCTTACATCTTCAATCTNTCATAAACTTGCTCCTCAAGTTTATTCCTCTTGCCTTTTCTCCAAGATACACCCTTGCTCTCCAAGTCTACACGACTCCAGCTCAGCATCTTGACTCCACATGGTCTTCACCACTCAACACGACGTCTGCCTCAGCAACTACGTCAGCGACTACTTCAGGGCGGACATCTTACATCTTCAATCTCCCCCTTTTAGCTTTATGTGCCCTTCAAGCACAATGTTCTTCTGGTTCAACAACCACGTTCTCCATCTGGAAACTTCCATGCTAATTGTGCTTTTCTCCCCCACGAGATGTGCACCACACCATGCTTTTCTCCCCCATGAGATAAGCACCATCTACTTCAGGACGTCCATCACCATGCTCTTCTCCCCCATGAGATATGTACTCCTTGGACCAGAACGTCACCACTTCTCCCCCTGCTTGATTGCATACTAAGCTAAAACACAAATGCTTAGATGTCAAGCCTACAGACACACACGTCTGTCTTTTCATGTATAATCATGACACAGCCTTTGCTGCAGCGGAATAACAAGTATTGCATCACGATCTGACGCACCTGTCGAACTACCTTTCGACCTACTTTTGTTGAGGACTTGGCTTCCTTCATGCGTCGTCTCCTTGACCATGAAGCCCTCCTCATCCACACCGAGTGCTCTCTGCACTCGTTGCTATTGTCTTGTAGTGATTTCACTATCACCCTCCTGAAGATCATCTCGCACTTCCTAACGCACTTCGATCTCCTTCCCCTTTGAACCACAAACAACTCCGTGTCCTGGCTCCAGACTTGATGCTTCTTGATCTTCCTCAAGATCACTCCTACCAGAGCTGCATCCTTCTTCTGATGTCCCTTCCTTGACCTCATCAAGTAAGCCACTCTTGGATAAGAACACATCTTCAATCCTCTTGGGTTTAATGAACGTCTTGTTCACATTCTTGGCCATGTTTCTGCTCTTCTCACGAGCAAAACACTCCACCTTCTTGTGTCCAACCTTCCCACAGAACCAGCAGCACATCCGATGTTGCTTCTTCTTGGGCCTGACACAGTTACTGATGCACCGATCAGTCTCCTTCCTTGTACCAGATGCACAACCATGCTTCATAACCTCCTGTCTGACCTTCATATTGCTGCATTGATGTACTCATTTCGGCATGTTATTCACAGCCACGCGCTGTAGAACTTCCTGCCGTACTCCTTGTCGTACGTCGGGACGTACTTCCTAACGAACATCTTTTGCTTCACTTTTTGAAGTGCTCCCTTGCACGAACTGTGACCGCCCCTTCTGTTGTATGCTAGTACTCTAACCTCCTCGGTATCCCAGTCCCCAATTTGCCTTGGCTGGTTGTCCCATTGAGAGTATCTTATCCAACTCCTTGGATCCACTATTGAGCATTCTGATCTGTTTGTGATTCTCGGCCAAATCACGTTCCAGCTTCCTTGCTCTCTCTTGTTCACCAGTAGCAACTCTTCTCAGTTTGCTAACTTCCTCTTCAAGAGACTCATTCTTCTCTTCTACAGCCGCAAGTTCTTCACGAAGTTCTTCAAGCAACTCGTTTTGCTTCTGAGCCACATTCTCAAATCTCAGATTCTGATCCTTGACCCTCAACCACTTGTTAAGCAGCACATGATACTCCTCATCATCTGTACTACGATCTGAATCTGTGGATGCACTAGATCCCTTTTTGCGTGCACCAAATGCAACCATGTTCTTCAACACTTTTTCATCTTCTTCAGACTCTGAATCATCAGACGACTGAGCTCCTTTTCCCTTCTTTGAGTTTGGACATTCGCGATTTGTGTGTCCAACACCTCTGCACTCAGAACACTTAAGTTCCTTTCGTTGTGCCATAGGACAGTCAGCCCTCACATGACCAACTCCTTCACACTCGTAGCAGTTGATAAAGTCTCTTCTTCTACCCTTGCCACGATCACCTCCTTGACGATCATACTGATTTCTTCCACCAGAGTGACTCGCCCTACCAAAATTCCTAGCCAACATACCCACAGTATCTTCAAGCTTCTGAAATCTGTCACCATCTTCGTCAGCTGCAAGTGCTATACTCTCTGGCGCACTGCCTGACGTAGAGACTGAACTACTATCTGTCTCCATCTCTTGTGCCTTCAGCATACCCACAAGCTTATCAAACTTGAGCTCATCCGTGTTGGTAGTCATATGCATGACTGCCTTGTGAGCTTCAAACTTCTTTGGAAGACATCATAGTAACTTCTTTACCAGCTTCTTCTCCTTGTACTTCTTCCCAAGTACAAATGCTTCATGCGCCATAGCACTGAGTTTGGCACTAAAGCTCGCCACAGAATCAGCATCAGACCATCTGAGATTCTCAAACTGCGACCCAAGATGATCTAGGCGTGTCCTCTTGACACTCTCATCTCCCTCAAACGAATTCAGCAGGATCTCCCACGCCTCTTTAGCTGAAGTACTCCCCTGAATCAGTTGAAACTATTCTGCTTCAACAGCTCCAAAAATCACCGACAACGCCTTTGCATTAAATTTTGATGCATTGCGCTCTGCCTCCGACCAATCGTCTTTTGGCTTGGGCTTCTTCTTATCTCCTGTGACTATGGTAGGCTCCTCCCAACCAATCTCCACTGCTTTCCACGCATCTTCATTGATTCCTCGAATCATCTGCTTCATGCGAGCCTTCCAATGACCATACTGGTCTGCATTCAACATGATTGTCTTCGGCATGGTAACAATCGTGTCCATCTTCACCTTTAGGATTACACCGGTAACTTAGGTGCCCCACTCTAATACCACTTGTAAGTGTAAAGATGACACCACAATAAGATAGTACAGAAGGTAAACCAAGAGACAAAACACCAATAGCTTTATTCAAATCTTCTTTAAACAATCTTTACAAGACCATGTTTATTCAGCTTTACACGTCTAGTGTTAACACCCTAACACACGTCACTGAAAGATTCCTAAGCTACTCACTTATGTCTCTCTGCCGTCAAGTACTTCAGCCTCAGCTTCAGCACGACCCAAGAACACCTTAAGAGCTTCTCTCTCTCTATAAGATCAGCCTCTGTGTCTCTGTCTCTCTACAGACGACCCCATTGCTATCTTATACTTATTCTCCACGTTCCCGAAATCCTAGTCTCCAAGGAACACAATATGGACATCTTCCATGACATTAAGTGAAACTTTCCTTTTCTTGAAATGCACTTATTCCTCTTTCTTTAAGTCATAAATTTGCTCCTCAAGTTTATTCATCTTGCCTTTTCTCCAAGATTCACCCTTATTCTCCAAGTCTACACGACTCCAGCTCAGCATCTTGACTCCACATGGTCTTCACCACTTAACACGACGTCTGCCTCAGCAACTACGTCAGCGACTACTTTAGGGCATACATCTTACATCTTCAAGTTTTAGACTACTACAGAATCTGGTAACTAGCTAAGATAGTAAGCATTAGCGTGTAGTTACGACTCACAGACTCGGTCCTCCTTTAGTTTTGTTCTCAACCATGATTGTTTACTTTCTAGAATGTTATGAGTGATAGTTGTGGAGTATCCCGTGACAATTTAGTGATTATTGCACAGATATGATAATGTATATGTGATGTGTTTGGTTTTATGTAATAGAATTTGTAGTACATAT